AAGTTCATAGAGTTAATGAATTACTTTTCATTGTGCCAATGAAATTCTGATGATTTAATTCATTATATTAATGAACTTTTTCATTATATTTATGTCGACTTTTGGTTCAGTGCACTGACTACACTTAGAGAACAACAACCATAAACTTTGGTACGACTGATATCGAAGATGGAGAACTAACCTCTGTAAAACCGTCTCAGATACTGGCTTTTGTAAAACTCCTGAAACTGTATAATGAGTTATAACTTGGTTATAACTCAAGAAGGGAGACACAATAGATGTATAAGCTCGAGGTTGATTAACTTCCCACCTCTCATTCAATCTACATCTACATCTATTATTAAAATATTATGTTTCAGGCGATGCAACTTGATTATAACTGGGTTTATTACATGTTTATACAAAATAAAAATAAAAATATAAGCTTCTCGAAAACTATCCGCAACAGCGTGGAAAACTCTCGAGATTATTGCCAAACGGGAAAATTCCATAGACGCTCTAAAAGTTTAACAAACAAATTACACGAAGAGGCGCGTATCAAGAGTTATTTCCCCAAGGGCCCCCGGCGCCGAAGTTCAAAAACAAGAAAATACGGTCCTGCTGCCGATAATTGTCGATGGAGTTCTGTGTCTAGCCGAACAGGCAACTTAAAACAGAATTACACATAAATTTTGATCACTATAAATTACTGTAGTTCGTAATTCGCGTCACTGAATTGTCTAAACCGATAAATATCCCAGAAAGTTTGACATTTGACGGCTTCTTAAATACAGGGTGACTCAAACAAGAGCGCAAACTACAGGGATCTCGTAAATTAGAAAAGATTGTAGATCATATAAATCTATTGTGTCCCGCTTTCTTGAGTTATAACTCAACATACAGTCCCAGGGCTTTAATAAAAGCCAGTATCTGAGACGGTTTTACAAGATGTTTCTTCTCCATCACCGATATCAGTCGTAGAAAGAATCGATTTTTTGGATCGATCTAGATCGAATGACCGCGAATCGATTCAAGAAGAATCGCAAGCTAAAAAATCGATCTTGTATTGTATTATACAGGGCTGTTCACCACATACGACACGGAGTATTGTAACTAAACGACTAGATTTTTACAAATTGTAAGTTTTGGGTTCGTTGAAGGACTATTAGAGCTACAATTTAAAAATATTTTTACAAGATACAGAGTGTCCCAAATAAATAAAAAATATCAAAGTTGTATTTTTTTAAATGGAACACCCTGTATATTATTACATTTTTAGTTTCCACGATTAAAATAAAGGTAAATTTGATTAAGGTTTATGATACTTAAACCTTACCGTTTTGAAATATTTTCAATTTTGTGAAATTGCAGTAAAAATTTTAAGGCTTCATTTCTTCAAAGGTATCAAAGTTTTTAATGCTAAATAATTACTGAAGTTTATTTATTGATCAGTTATTGTGTTGCAATAATAAAAATAATACTACCTTATACAGAGTGTCTAAAAATTTATTTTAAATAATTATTAGCTTCAAATGGCAATAACTTGTTTAATTTAAATGGAACGCCCTGTATATTTTACGAGAATCAGATGCACAATTTAATTGTCTATCAAATAATATTATACCATTTTTTACCTATCTCTTTAAGTTTCCGTAGAAAATGCATTTTCTTGTAATTTAGAACTTATTTATCAATATACCCATGGACTATTGACATTTTAGATTATTTTTAAAGATGTACCAAATTTTTAAAGAGTACAGATACTAATATTGTCGATATAATTCGTTTATTTCATTAAAAAAAACTGTTTAAATATTTGTTAAAGAGGATCAATTAATATGATTCCAGTATTCAAACTACATTAACTGACTGTTTGCGTTGATTAATAATAATTGCTCCAAATACCGTATGATCGAGAAAAAACGGCGTCAGCGATGGCTATGGAATGAAGATCGCTGTCATTTTATATGTAAATTTATATGGGAAATGTCATTGATGTTCATTTCCCAGCCAACTGGACGCCGTTTTTTTTCGATCATACGGTACTAAAAAACTGAATTTTGTATGGGCATTAGACAGTGTGATAAAAAGTAACACCTTAAAAATGATATTTCATTTTTTAATAAATGCTTATTTATAACAACAGAGACTTTAATTTGATAACTTATTATTATATTGATTTCTGACTCAAATCCACATTTATTTATAATAATTTATTAACGAACACAATTAAGTATGTAATTAATTAGTATATGGGCGGAAATAATGGTGTTATATTTAATTAATGGTATACTCTTTATATAAAGATTTAAATAGTTTTCTTTTTGCATACAAATGGGCTAGTAATATTATCGTTTTGCTAAAAACGATAATATTACTAGTCTGTACATTTTGTACATTTGTTGCTTTAAAAACAATCTAAATTGTCAATATTCCATAGATATATTGATAAATGAGGTCTAAATTAAAAGAAAATGCATTTTCTACGAAAACTTGAAGGGATAGGTAAAAAATGGTATAATACAATCTGATAGACAATTTAATTGTGCATCTGATTCTCCTAAAATATACAGGGCATTCCATTTAAATTAAAGAAGTTATTGCCGTTTGAAGCTAATAATTATTTAAAATAAATTTTTAGACACTCTGTATAAGGTAGTATTATTTTTATTATTGCAACACAATAACTGATCAATAGATAAACTTCATTAAATATTTAGTATTAAAAACATTGATACCCTTGGAGAAATGAAGCTTTAAAATTTTTACTGCAATTTCACAAAATTGAAAATATTTCAAAAACGGTAAGGTTTAAGTATAATAAACCTTAATCAAATTTACCTTTATTTTAATCGTAGAAACTAAAAATGTAATAATATACAGGGTGTTCCATTTAAAAAAATACAACTTTGATATTTTTTATTTATTTAGGACACTCTGTATCTTGTAAAAATATTTTTAAATTGTAGCTCTAATAGTCCTTCAACGAACCCAAAACTTACAATTTGTATCTAAATAAATAAAACTTACAAATTGTATCTAAATCTAATCGTTTAGCTACAATACTCCGTGTCGTATGTGGTGAACAACCCTGTATATTGTATTGACTAAGACACATTTTGTGAAAATGAAGAGTAAATTTTAATTTGACCCGAAAAGTTATACAGGGTCAGACAGAATTAATACGGAAAAGTAGTCACTTTTAAAAGCAAGTTACACCTTTATTTTAAATGGAACCCCCAGTATATTTTCCGGTGTTCAATGCGGAATTAATGTATCTTTAAAATATTATTAAGGTTGCCTACCCCTCAGATAAAGATTTTCCTATATATTTTAATTTTTATGATTTTGCGTCAGTAGATCTTTATTATTTGAAAAAATCTCGGGTGGCTGTGTGATATATCTTTTGTTAATTTAACAAAAATTCAAGATTGTAGAGTAAAATCTCAACGGTAATAAAAAGATACACGTTTAAAACATATTTGAATTATTACAAAATTAAAAATAGATATAAACCAGAAATTAGCTAGATGAAATCAAATGCTCAAAATGCTTCCTTTCCTGTTAATTGCACAAAATGATTGTCATTTCAAAAGGATCTTTTCATTTTAAAAGGCATATGTGAGTTCTACCTCGAAAAGCAGCTACAATCATTTCTCTCATGTTGTCGACAATAGTTGGTCGAGTTTTGTAAACACTGTGTCTTTAACATATCCCCATAAAAAAACAAACTAGATACAATCGGGAGCATTTAAGTATTCTACTAATAGAATAGCTACCAATGTTACCAAACTAATAGAATCATATCAATTCTCTCTGATGTAGGATAAATTTGCATGTTCGGCAAATTTCTGAGAATTATTTTTTGTTTTAACTGACACAAAATGATAACTAGTTGTTAAAGTTGGACTAATTAGACAGCTATGTTGAAGTAGTAACGTCACAAATATCACAGCCACCTAGATTTTATCAAATAATAAAGATCTACTCAGATCAAATCATGTAAATGAAAATATCTAGGAAAATCTTTGTTTGAGGGGTAGGCAACCTGAATAGTATTTTGAAGAGACATAACATAATTCTCCATTGAATGTCGGAATAATATACTGGGTGTTCCATTTAAAATAGAAGAGTAACATGCTTTTAAAGGTGACCAATGTTCAATATTAATTTTGTCTCACCCTGTATAACTTTTTGCATCAAGTTTTAATTTGGTTTAAAGTACAATAGTTTATTTAACTGCATATTAGGCTATACCGGGTAAATTTCAATTTAGGTAGCTTTTATTGTAATTTAAAAAGTGTTCTTTATTTCTAGAAAAGGTTAAATATATGTCAAAAACCTTACATTTTAGTCATATACTCAAAAAAAACTCACCTTTACTTTTCTCATTGAATCCGAAAATCAATTAATATATAGGGTGTTCCATTACAAAAAAACACAACTATAGGTACTGATTACTTGGTTAAATTAAACTGGTCGATTTAGCGACCATCAGCCTATAAAGGGCCAAATCAAGGAAAACCTTAGATGACAAAAAACATGTACCATCTCCCGTTGGAAAATTTTCCTCACGTAAAAATAAGATTTTTTTTCAGAATAATTAAAAAATATTCAAAATATCTTAAAATGTACATCTATAAGAAAAATGAAATGAGAATAACACTGAAGAACTCCTATTAATTCTCAATATGTTTGAGTTTTCAATATCCGAAATACATATGCATTGCTACTATTACATTTCTATTGTTTCAGTCTGTTTGCAAACTGTTTGCATTTGTGGCAAATGTAGATTTGAAGTTTTAATTTCCTGATTTCGCTTCTGGTCAAAGAACCTCGTATATATTCTATTTAAATGAACACCAAAACGACGATCTGTTCTTTGGTCATGTATTTACATATAGGTACAATATGTCTAGAACTGCTATTGTATATTTTATGCAAAAGAAAAAAATATAAATAACATCTAAAATAATTTTTTATATATAGTAACTTTTCTGAAATTATTTTTTTTGTTCCAGAGGAGTCGCAATGATTCTGAACCGATTCTGCACTACCTGGATCTCAGTTATCGTTTTGGCAGCTGCTTATGTCAGTACCGAAGACGATCACCACAAAAGAGCACCTTCTGGCTTCACTGGAGTTAGAGGAAAAAAGTCGATACCAGACGGAGCTTATAGTTCTGATGAACCCGAGCACGAGAATTTGATACAGCAAGTTAGTTACTTCTTTTTAGAATCTTAAAAAAATAGATTTTACTAATAACAACCTATTTATAATCAGCCTGCCAACTTTAGATCAACTGCAGCAATCTACTACACGATCTATGCAATCTACGACATTCTACCTAGATATTCAATTACCATATGAAAAAAGTGGGATTCTGATCTCCGTAATCTAAAAAAAATGAGTCTGCAAGTGCTCTAATTGTTTCGATGTGTACGAAAATAGGAGTAGTATAAGCTGATACTTAAAAACAAGATGACCATCTGGTTCTAAATAAGCTGTGATGACAGGGATAAAAGTGTCTCATATAGAGGGTGACTATTTGAAAAGTAGCAGTAAGGAATATCTGTTTTCCTTGTATACCGACGACATATTCTTTGCTCTAGTTATTAATACCAAAATATTAACTTGCGAAAGGTTTAGGTATATGTCATTTTTGTTGTCAATTTTACAAATTACGTTTTGTCACAAAGGATTTTTGGCTCAGTTTAATAAAAAAAATATTCTCACAATGTCCACGCACATATTTTTGACCATAAAGCACGTAAGATGAAACTTAGGCTGGGGAATGAAAATCGATGATAATTTTAGCGAGGTCAATCTCTACAGGGTTGTTCGCCACATACGACACGGAGTATTGTAGCTAAACGATGATATTTTTACAAATTGTAAGTTTGGGGTTCGTTGAAGGACTATTAGAGCTACAATTTAAAAATATTTTTACAAGATACAAAGTGTCCCAAATAAATAAAAAATATCAAAGTTGTATTTTTTAAATGGAACACCCTGTATATTATTGCATTTTTAGTTTCTACGATTAAAATAAAGGTAAATTTGATTAAGGTTTATTACACTTAAACCTTACCGTTTTGAAATATTTTCAATTTTGCGAAATTGCAGTATAAATTTTAAGGCTTCATTTCTCCGAGGATATCAAAATTTTTAATACTAAATATTTACTGAAGTTTATCTATTGATCAATTATTGTGTTGCAATAATAAAAATTATACTACCTTATACAGAGTGTCTAAAAATTTATTTTAAATAATTACTAGCTTTAAACGGCAATAACTTATTTAATTTAAATAGAACACCCGGTATATTTTATGAGAATCAGATGCACAATTTAATTGTCTATCAAATTGTATTATACCATTTCTTACCTATTCCTTCAAGTTTTCGTAGAAAATGCATTTTCTTATAATTTAGACCTCATTTATCAATATATCCATGGAATATTAACATTTTCGATTGTTTTTAAAACAACAAATGTACAAAATGTACAGGCCAGTAATATTATCGTTTTTAGTAAAACGATAATATTAGTAGCCCATTTGTATGCAAAAAGAAAACTATTTAAATCTTTATAAAAGAGTATACCATTAATTAAATATACCACCAGTATTTCCGCCCAAATACTAATTAACTACATACTTAATTGTGTTCGTTAATAAATTATTCTAAATAAATGTGGATTTGAATCAGAAATTAATATAATAATAAGTTATGAAAATGAACGTCTCTGTTATAAATAAGCATTTGTCAAAAAATTAAATATCATTTTTAAGGTGTTACTTTTTACCACACTGTCTAATACACATATATAATTCAGTTTTTAGTATTTGGAGCAATTATTATTAATCAACGCAAACAGTCAATTAATGTAGTTTCAATACTGGAATCATATTAATTGGTCCTCTTTAACAAATATTTAAACAGTTTTTTTTTTATTTTTATAATGAAATAAACGAACTATATCGACAATATTAGTATCTGTATTCTTTAAAAATTTGGTACATCTTTAAAAATAATCTAAAATGTCAGTATTCCATGGGTATATTGATAAATGAGTTCTAAATTACAAGAAAATGCATTTTCTACGGAAACTTGAAGAGATCGGTAAAAAATGGTATAATACAATTTGATAGACAATTAAATTGTACATCTGATTCTCAAAATATACAGGGTGTTCTATTTAAATTAAACAAGTTATTGCCGTTTAAAGCTAGTAACTATTTAAAATTAATTTTTAGACACCCTGTATAAGGTAGTAAAGTTTTTATTATTGCAACACAATAACGATCAATAAATAAACTTCAGGAAATATTTAGTATTAAAACTTCGATACCCTCGGAGAAATGAAGCCTTAAAATTTTTACTGCAATTTCATAAAATTGAAAATATTCCAAAACGGTAAGGTCTAAGTGCAATAAACCTTAATCAAAATTACCTTTATTTTAATCGTAGAAACTAAAAATGTAATAATATATAGGGTGTTCCATTTAAAAAGTACAACTTTGATATTTTTTATTTATTTGGGACACTCTGTATCTTGTAAAAATATTTTTAAATTGTAGCTCTAATAGTCCTTCAACGAACCCAAGACTTACAATTAGTAAAAATCTCATCGTTTACAGTTGGGTCAACGGATCTTTGCGTGCACGTCACAAAACTATGATTAACATCAAATCAATTCCCTTTTATACGCTCTCTTTCTAACTTAAGCAAGACAATTCGAAGAAATACTGAACGTATGTCTTCATAGTTATCCGACATACGGTCGGAGCTAAAGTTATGTGTAAGACAAGGAAAACCCCTAGCCAAGGATCACTCAAGTTTCTTTTCTAAACATTTAAAGTCAATGCCGGCGAACGCAAAAATAAATCGATTATTTATTTTCGGGTTCTCGTTTTAAAAGAAATGTACTAAATTTAGTATATTTTTTTAATAAAGGTACACTGGTGTTCACTTCATACTAACTTCATTTGCATTATAATTTCTTGTTTTTATTTTATAAGGGATCCAAGAACTACATCCTATTAAAAAAAAAGACAGCTTTTCCTTTATAATTTCCTAAAAAAAGTAACTTGTACTACAATTTAGTACATTTTGTGGAGACGTGCGTACATCTGTAAAACCCTGGCAGCATCCATGCATGACATTTTTGTCATTCGGTGTTTATGTTTATGATTTTGTCATTTTGTCAAAAAGTTAGGGAAAGTTGTTTTGTATCTTTATTTTCTTTGGACATCGTTTATTGCGACTAGCTTTTGTGAAAACTTTTTGTGATTTAACAACAGTTCTTTCCAAAATTTATTTTTCGTGATTCGTTAATATAATTTAACATTAACATTGAAATGCCAGGAAAACGTTTAAATTCTCAAGCACGTATCCTTGTTGGAAATCTTATCTCTTATTTTACGTCTGAAAAAGAGAATAAGGGGCCACTAATTTCCCTGAATGCTGTTCAAGAGGTAAATATATATTTTGATTTATAAAAATACAAGTGCCTAACTAATAAATTTACAGAGAGTTGCTGATGCCTTGAAGATCAGTCTAAGAACGGTTTCAAGCATTAAAATGTCTAAAGATCGAAATGAGCTACCCTCAACACCGGGAAAGAACAGACCTCGAAAAAAATGTAAAACTCAAGACTTGAATGAAGGTTTGAAGATGGAGGTTCGCAATATTCTGTATGACTTGTATGCACAAAGTAAGTACCAATATTATTTTACTGAACTATTTTACTAAATTTATATTTTCAGAGAAACAAGTTACAATTAATAAACTAAACGAGGAGTTGCGTCGCAGAGAAATTGTTGACATAAGTTATGGAAGTCTTCGAACACTCCTTTTTAGTTTGGGATTTAAATACAAAAAGGATGATAACAGACGAGCATTAATGGAGACATCCAATATAGCTTCTATGAGAGCAGCCTTTTTCAGAAAATACATGGAAAACAAAAATTCGCAATTTCCTCGTCAACTCGTATTTTTAGATGAAACGTGGATCTTTTCCAAAGGCAGTAAAATGAGATCATGGCAGGATGATAGTGTTAAGAGTGTTCGTAAGCCAGGTGGTTTTGATGGCAAACGTTTCATTGTATTGCATGCCGGACACTGTGGAGGGTTTGTTAAAAATGCTGGTTTAATTTTTGCTTCAAAATCTAAGAAAATGGATTATCATGGGGAAATGAATGCAGAAATGTTTACAAAGTGGGTAGAAAACCAGCTCATCCCAAATTTAGAAGAACCTTCCCTTATTGTAATGGATAATGCTCCATACCATTCTGTTGAGTTAGAGAGACAGCCATCATCCTCATGGAAGAAATATGAAATTGTTGAGTGGTTGGAGAAAAGTAATATACCTTATGATAAAAAAATGTTTAAACCTGAACTATTAAGCATAGCAAAAATTCACAAAAAAACAAAACAATATAAAATAGATAAATTATTACAAGAAAATGGTCATGAAGTATTAAGATTACCACCTTACCATTGCCAGTTTAATGCAATTGAAATGATATGGGCAGATTCAAAATATTTTTACAATGCCCACATTGGTGAAAATGGACATAAAGATGAAAATGTGCTAGATATGTGGAGAAAAGCATTAGAGAAATGTACACCAGAAATATGGCATGCTAAGGTGGTTCACACTGAAAAATTAATCGAAGACTGGTATGATAGGGAAGTCATTATTGAAGAAGTACCCCAAATGTTTATCAATGTCAGTGATGAGGAAAGTTCAGAAGATAGTGAGAGTGGGGAGAACTAAAGTGGACTACGTACATTTTTCAAATTTTTTAATTTAAATACTATCCATGCTATTTTTAAACAAATAATTGTACTGATCCAAGTTACTTGTAAAATTAATAAATTATTTTTCATTTTCATTAAATTTATTATCTGTTGGAGGTATTATTTAACAAAATATTTAGACTTTTTGTTTTAACCTACTTTCTATAATAGTAATTTGGGTAAAATCTTGTAAAGTTAGATATCTAATACTGTATAGAACTTGATTTCAATATATTAGTTAACAACTCAATATTTCGATCACCAATTATTGTCCTCTTGTAACAACTATCCTATTGAATTATACTGTATAGGCATACTATTGTTCTGTATTTTCCCCTTTTTATGACCTTTTTCCATAAACAATTATTTATTCTAATTTAAAAACGTCCAAAAACTTTACAAATATTTTGGAAAAGAAATTATATTATTTCTTTTAAGTATGAAATAAAATGCCGCTGGCACTGGTGGTAGTTTTGTCACAAAGGATTTTTGGCTCAGTTTAATAAAAAAAATATTCTCACAATGTCCACGCACATATTTTTGACCATAAAGCACGTAAGATGAAACTTAGGCTGGGGAATGAAAATCGATGATAATTTTAGCGAGGTCAATCTCTATAGACGCATTTACTAAAAATTAACACTAATTATAGAAAGTTTAAAAAAGGATAGAACGTTTCCAGACATAACAATCTATTTCCGAAATTGTTTTTTTCTCGAATTTTAAACTAAGTAAGAATTTTAATCATTTTTACACAATATAAAAATAAATTACAATATTTTTAAAGCCAATTGACAGTAAGAGCCATTAAAAAATAAAGAAGAGTACTTACGAGCCAAGTAATGACGTCTAGGGCTTGACCTCGCCAAAATTATCATCGATTTTCATTCCCCAGCCGTCTCTGACGCCGTTTTTTTTCGATTGTTTAGTATTTGAGGCTTTCTCTGACTCAATATTGTTATTGTAGAATAAAACATTTTTTTTCAGAATTATGATTCCTATGGACCGAACACTCAACCCCCTTCATCGATAAACTACCTGGAAAAAAGAGCACCATCAGGCTTTTTCGGAATGAGGGGTAAAAAACCCTGGAGTTATCCGGAAGAATTTAAACGCGCGCCTATGGGTTTCGTGGGTATGAGAGGAAAAAAAGCGACCAGTGACGACTTTGACTATGTTTTAGGTAAATACAGTAGTTAAAATACAAAAAATGTTGATTTTTAATTATCAATTTAATAATATACAGGGTGTTCCATTAAAAAAAAAAACGAAGAAAAATTATTTAAATTTTAGAAAGTTTTGAGTGGAATTTTGAACACCCTGTATCATTTGATAGGAAAGTAAATACAGCGAACTATAGTAAATAAAAAAAAATAATTCAAAAAAGGCTCAATTTTTTTAATTTATTGATTCTATTTATTGATTTTATTAATTTATCTCTTTAATCCATATCCACTCATACTTTTTTTAACTACCCTGTAGAAGTTAAAATATTTTCATTAGATTTGCATTTAAACAAAATTCCTAAGTTTTTATTATAGGAGCTACAGATGCCCGACGCACTGTTGTACCCTCTATACAGAGTGAGTCTTAAATAAGTGCCAATATTTTTAGGGGTAGTATATTTCGAAAAAAAAATTGAAAATTCAATTTTTTTGAATTTTTGTTTATTTTTTAGTTAAAAAACATAATTTCTTGATAATATGGCAACATAGGTAGTAGATTAAATTTACAAGAAAGAAAACACAGAAGAGATTCATTGGTTTTCAAAATTTTAGCAAAAAATCGTTTTTTTTGGAAATTTTCAAGTAAAATAATTCTGTTATTTTGGACTGGTTTGAAAAACGGTCCCAAGTAGCATTTTCACGACTTGCGACCACATGTTTACTAAACACAACGTTGGATTAGTTACAAAAAATAGTTAGCTCTCTACCTTGGGTATTAAAATAAATTTAAACGTTTTTATAACGTTGTACCGACGTTGGACTAGTACTACAGCAAAGTAGAAGCTTCTGCGACGTCGAATAAACGTTGTCTTTTAACCTTTTTTGCTTAAGTGATCTTTAGGTGATTCGGACAACGTAGTTACAACGTTGGGCAATATAGAGTTTTCCGACGTCAGTTTCAGGACCTATTCCAACGTTATGCAAACGTCGTCTATTTTACTAATTCCAACGTTGTTTAGATTTCCTTATTCTTACGTTGGTAGGACGTCGAGTTACTACCTTTTTGCAACTGTATTGAACCATAACCTTAAATCTTAAATTTTCACTTCATTGTTCTGTTCAGTCAGACAGTTCAGTGCTGCTTTTGTTTTTATAAAAAAAAACTTAATTAAAATGGGACATAAGAAAGGTACATATAAAACTAAATTTAAATATACATTGACATATATTACCGATAGTTTATCCACTCCCTCGTTTATTTAGATTATAGAGGGCGGCACAAGCTAGACTCTAGGATGACTAAATTAGGCAATCTTGCGACTAGTATACTACCTGTTAAGGCCGAACTGCGACTTTATTAGTCCAGTATGCGACTACTCGAACTACTCCATCTTAATCTCCAAAACAACAAAGTGAAAGCCGCCATGTTGTTAAATAAGTAAATGTTTCGTTCCTAAAATAGCAATTCCTGCTTTTTGAATACATTAGCTTGAAATATTTGACCCTAAAAAACACGCGGAAACAATTTTTTCGACTGCGAATAAATTATTTGCATTTTACTAAAAAAAAATTCAAGAAAAATTTTAAAACTTCTTTAATTTTAAGGCCCATTAGTATTTTTCAAAGTAGAAACAATACATTTATCAATAAAGTTGTTTGCGTTTAACTTTTTTGCCTTGGGTAACGAGTTACAGAGTCGGTTAAAGTGTTTCAATAATTATGATCTTCAAACATCCTCCACACTTAAATATTTTTGTTTTGTTTTCCTTCACTGCCATCTGACATATGTCTCTAACTAAATCATAAAAATAATATTTTTACTATAATTATCCCAATTTAGGATAAAACGCGACTTAGACGCCATATTAGTTTTGTATTTCTGTGAATTAGGATTTTAAACAACGTTGCAGTTTGTACTAAATTAGGCTTCTAGCCAACGTCGGTATCCAACGTCGTTTCGACCCAAAAATTATTCTCCAAACTAGTGCAGACTAGGGTTGGCACGAGGTTGTGCCGACGTTGCGCCCCGACGTTTGGTCGCGTGACACAACGTTGTCCCGACGTCCAAATGCTGCTTGGGATGGCAACATAGGTAGTAGATTAAATTTACAAGAAAGAAAACACAGAAAAGATTCATTGGTTTTCAAAATTTTAGCAAAATATCTTTTTTTTTTCGCGAAAAAAAATTGAAAATTCGATTTTTTTGAATTTTTTTTATTTTTTAGTTAAAAAACATAATTTCTTGATAATATGGCAACATAGGTCGTAGATTAAATTTACAAGAAAGAAAACACAGTAGAGATTCATTGGTTTTCAAAATTTTAGCAAAAAATCGGTTTTTTTTTGGAAATTTTCAAGTAAAATAATTCTGTTATTTTGGACTGGTTTGAAAAACGGTAAAGAGAAAATATGTCTCTTTTATCGAGATCTCCCAGTCCTGAAAATATTCGCACGTATTTAATACTCACCCTGTATATTTTTAAACGAAGAGAGAGAGAGAGAGAGAGCAGACTTCAACAATGCAAAAAAATCTAATACTCAACACATACATATACCTACAATAAAAAATTTTGATTTTATAGTTATTTCAGATAGCCACTTAATTTTATAAAATTAAACTTAAATAAAATGGTTTGGTTGGTTTGCAAAATCTATGGCTTCTCGCTACCTATTCAGCTTTAATTGTATTTTCCACGGCAAACCGGAAAAATTGCCCTTTTGCTAGCTAATGCAGTTAACGAGAGGAAATGTAAATAGGGCAAAGGAACGACATGGTTTTAAATAATCTAGAGTGAAACAGGCCACAGGGCTAATTAGGGCTGGAACAAGCAAAATGCTGATAGAATTCTAGCAATAGGATAACGCAACCGAAAATTTAGGTTCGCAGCGAGATAGTTTTGTGAAGATGAAGTTGATTTTGGAAAAATAACACAAAAAATTCTATTAATTAACCTCAATAAAATAAGATTATATAAAAATATTTGTTGATAAATGCTGTAGGTTTTTGGCTAAAGGTCCTCACAGACGCTCAGTTTTATCGCACAGACCAATAGCCATCTTAGCCTATAATAGTCAAGCAGCCTTAAAACCGATCAACCAGTATCCATCAATTCGAAGTTGGCCAAAGAATGCCTAGAGAAGATGAACAAAGTAGGCAAGGAAAATACCGCGTATGATCGAAAAAATCGGCGTCAGCGATAGCTATGAAACGAAGACCGCTGTTATTTTCTATATGTAAATTTATATGGGAAATGTCATTGATCGTCATTTCAGAGCCATCGCTGAGGTCGTTTTTATTCGATCATACGGTACATGCACACAGAATGCAAGAAAACTATATCTCGAAAATTATTTTCACCGCATAGAAAATGCGCTGAAACTATTAGTAGATGCGTCACTCATTTCACTGTAGACTGAAGGCAAATCTGTGCTATAAAACTGCGTGCGTGTGTGTGTGACAGATTACAGATTAAACTGCGCAGTAGTACAGATTATACTGCGCAAACTGACCTGCACAATCAGCCTGTACTAAAGAACTGAAAGTCTATGGGAGCTTTTATGGCATATCTTTATCTACAAAGTTTATAGGGCATCTTGCAATGTTGCCACATTTCACAGGACCACAAATGTATAACCAAAACAGAAATTTAACAACAATTTTTTTATTTAATGTTTGTAATTTTATTTTAGTGTAAACGAAGATGTATAGATTATTATCGATAGTGTTATTTGTAGCAACATTCCTTGTAGAGGTTTATTATTAATGAATATGTAAAAAATATGAAGTAATAATAATAATAGTAACAAATAAATAAATAACAGTGCATATAATACTATTTCTTATTTTTAGACGATTATCCCAAGAGAGCACAAATGGGTTTCTTCGGTATGAGAGGCAAAAAATACTTCGTACAACCTGGATATTCTTCTGAAGACATTTTAACCAGATTAGCACCATCCAGAGGTTATTATACTTTTAAATACATTAAAAAAATTTAAAAAAAATCTTTAGAACCGACTTTACATCGTACAACTTGACGTACAACACTTTCCATCGTGTATGACCCGTTTTAGTACATAAATAAACACGATTGAACACTTAAATACACAAAAATACGTTACTTAAAAATGTTTTAAATGAATGTATTAAAGTAGTTTTATTTTATTTTAGATAAAAAAGATTTTGAAAATTCCTCAGGGTATTTTGAAGATAAAAGGGCACCTGCCGGCTTTTTTGGAATGCGTGGCAAAAAACGACCTTCTGGATTCTTTGGAATGAGGGGCAAAAAGTACCCTTATGAGTTTAGGGGAAAATTTGTCGGAGTCAGGTAAATCAAAATTGATTTAAACATGTTTTGCAATTTCTACAAAATTTTTAAAAAATGGTATACTAAAAAAAATTTTTGCGTGTTTTCTAGGGGCAAGAAATCTTTGAATGACGTCACACTGCCTGACAATTATTTGACAGATCTGTCTGCGGGACGGTTTGGCGAGGACTTAGACTGGAACCAACTGATGTTGTTGCTGACTGAACAGAACGAAGCTGCTGACAGTAGTCAGTAAATGTTGTTCAATTTTAGCTCGTAAGAATTTATTTTGTAAGTACACATACAGGGTGAATCTTAAATAAGTGTAAATATTTTCAGGGGTAGTATATTTCGACCCCACAAACCCGAAAAAATCGGCTTTCTTCGCAAAAATTTTTTTTTTGAAAAGTCTGGAATTTTTTTGAAATTTTTTTTGGGTTTTTAGTTAAAAACATAATTTCTTTATAATGTTTCAACTTACGTAATAGATTAAATTTACAATAAAGAAAACCCAGAAAAGATGCAGTGATTCTCAAAATTTAAGCAAAAAATATTTTTTTTAATTTTCAAAGAAAGTAAAGAGAAAATATTATGTTTCTTTCATCGAGATCTACCAGCCCTGAAAATATTTGCACCTATTTGAAATTCACCCTGTATAATAAAGGTACTAAGTCAATAACAGTGATCAAAAGCTTTTAAATTATATAATTAAAAAATCAGCGCAAACTGCCAAAAAACTGCTGTACGTATATATACCGAACTTCCCTCAAAAATATTAAAATAGACTCGTCCATACTTGTCCGATTTTATTAAAAAGTTTTTTTTTTATTAAAATACACGAATCACTGACACAACTAGAAGATCTAATTTTCTTTAAAATAAATTACTTGCTCCAAAACGCATCACTAATATTAAAAACCGTCAATAATATGTATAAGTTTTTATTTTTTCTAAAAAAGAACTACTATAGTGATTTTGCGCTTATGGACAACTATTTCATTGAAAAATATTGAAAAAATAGTATTCCTACCTTTTCTTACGCCCTGTATATGCTCGTGGAAAGTAGTTTTCTTCTTTAAAACACTGTATAACACTGATTTTAGAAATTAATTACTAAGCCAACAACACACTGATCAAAAACATATAAACATAAATAAGTAAAAAAAATCAACTCAATCTGTGACAATAGCGCTATTCATCCTAACTTCCCTCAAACATACTAAAAATAGACTCGTCCATTTTTGTGCAATCTTAAAAAGTTTTTTTTGTTAAAATACCGACATTGAAACAACTAAAAACTCTAAAATCTAATTTTCTATAAAATAATCTCACTATAGCCGTTGTATAACTTTTAAAAATCGTCAATAATTACGTAACAGCTATTATTATTTCTAAAAACAACTTCTGTAGAGGTTTTGCGCTTATGGACAACTTTTTCATCGAAAAATATTGAAAAAATAGTACTCCTACCTTTTTATACGCCCTGTAGATGCTCGTGGAAGTATTGTTCTTCTTTAAAACACTATATAACACTAATTTTGCAGAAATAGTTTACTTAAACCGACAAGAAAACTGATAGAACACTTAAAAAATTAAACAAACTTCTAACAAAATCAGCGCAAACTGCGATAATTATCGCCGATTAGCGCTTTATATACCCTACCTCCCCTCAAAAATATTCAAAATAGACTGGTCCAGTTTTTCGCCTAATTTTTTGCGACTTTCTTAAAAAAAAAACATTTTTCTTAATAATAATTAGAAAACTATCAAATAAGAGCCTTCAGAGAGAGCCTTTCTTGTTTTTAAAATCATATAATAATGTAGTTAATACCAAAATTTCTTTTTTAATATGATGTTAATATGTATTGTATTCCTGTCAAATTTTCAATTATTTCCATGGCTTACTTTACACTAAACTGATTATCTCTGGCTGTTGTCTTCAAAATTAATTCGTAATAAAATAGGATCAATTGCTTTCGGTACATACAGGGTGAGACAAAACTTTTCGATATATACAGGATGAGACGAAAATCTCAATTATGGATTTTTTTCACAACAATTGGACACATTGAATACAAATAAATGATTTTTTCTCTTTTGCAGGATTTCAATCACTGAATGATGAAGCCCATTTCTTCTAGTCAACAGACATAGACTTAAAGACAAATAGTAACTAAAAATATAACTAATTATAAAGAGATACTATATATTCCATAATATATAAAGGATGTTTCAAAATCTAATCTTAAAAACAAGAATTTTTCAAGTGACAAAGAGTATTATTTAAAAAAAAATTATATGTTGTAATTTTTAGTTTTTATGGTAATTTAGAAAATATATTTGTTACATGTTAAGTGTAAAACAGCAGAGATACAATGAAAAATCTAAAAAAATACTTTTTTTCACTTGAAGAAACACAAATTAGGGTATTTAAATTTTTCTTAAAAAAAGGCTGGACATAGAAAAATTTAATAACTAAATTTTCTGTTGTTTTCATTACTTAGTCCGTCCCTTAGCATGTTCTAACCTCAAAGTTACCCCGGTTTATTTTTATTACTAAAAAATATATATTTTGCAGAATTTTTTCATGTAAAAAAATATTATATTTGTATTTTCTACTTTGGTTAAAATTATTTAAAAAAATATCTTGTAGATACAGATAAGTTCTATATGATAAGGCATATAGTAGTTACATATTGTGTAGGTAGAATAAATTTTAACTATATATTTCTGTTAAACTTAAAAAAAACTAATGTTTAAGAATAAAATAAAAATTACTAGTGTTTGAAACGGCACTTTCTAATTTCTTTTCATTATCCCCAAGATATTCCCTAAAATAATAAAAATACCATACGATCGAGAAAAAAAAACGGCGTCAAAGACGGCTGAGGAATGATAATCGATGATAATTTTGTCGAGGTCAAGCCCTAGACTTCATTACTTGACTTTAAGAAGGTTGTAATTTTTTTTATTTATTTACTTTTAGTAAACGATGTCTAGAGATTAACCTCGCCAAAATTATCGTCGATTGTCATTGCCCAGCTGTCTTTGACGCCGTTTTTTTTTCGATCATATGGTATTTTCAATCAAATTAAGTGTATACTTTCTTCTTCTCCAAGTGAAATGAAGATCGCTGTCATTTTATATGTAAAATTAAATAGGAATGTAATCAATCATAGTATCTAAGCCAACTGGACGCTCTTTTTTTTCGATGATACCATATAATTTTTTTATCCAGATCTACAACGCCTTAAAATACTTGCCGTATGATCGAAAAAACAACGGCGTCAGCGATGGCTATGAAATGAAGATCGCTGTCATGTTACATGTAAAATTATATGAGCAATGTCATCGATCGTCATTTCCAAGCCAACTGGACGCCGTTTTTTTTCGATCATGCCGTATGTACAGAGCGATTCAAACTTATTTTTTGATTAAACTTGTAATAGAATGCTATAATACCGTATGATCGAAAAAAAACGGCGTCCAGTTGGCTTGGAAATAACGATCAATGACATTCTCCATATAATTTTACATATAAAATGGCAGCGATCTTTATTTCATAGTCATAGTTTTTTTTTTAAAACATATTGTATAAAACTTATTCAAAAAGAGGATACCAATGAAAGTAGCACTTGGGTCTGTCATTTTAATACACAACTCAACTAAACTATATTTACTGTCATTTTTTGACAGACTCATTAGAACAGACTTTACTTTACAGATCATACCTCGACTTATATGAAAAGTAAGAAAAACCAAATTGAACAAAAACAATTTGATCTAATGGTTTTTTTTATTATATAAAAAAGCCATTTCTTGGCTCTTACAAATATTACACAAAATTGAGCGGATCACATCGGCCTATAAATACTTATTTATCGTTAATCTACGGGGTGTTTTATTTTCTTCAATTCAATATAAAATATTCGTAGAAGAAAATACGAAAAAAATATATTTTTTAAAATTAAATAAATCAAATCTGTCAAGTAATGATATGCTTGGCTGTATGTCATTCTTCCTTTGACAGATAAACTTAACAATACAGTTTTTTTTTACTTAAGCTTGATTTTCATGCGTCCGTTATTCGTTGATACGATAGTACGACGGCGCTCTGATTCACTATAGCGTTTTCGCGCTACTTTTTTGACAAGATTAACCTAACCTTAATAAAAATATAATAGTACAAGAGCTAGCAACGTCAAAAAAACGAGAATTTTAAGAAAGCTTGTTCTTTAATATATATTTTGCTATGCTCTCCTGGCCAGAGTGCGGGCCGTCTGGCTGCCAGTAGACTACTGCGGTTCACTACTGCGTAACACATTTGTGTAGCTGTGTACCAAAACTGTAGCTGTTAAAACAACGCAAGGAACTCCACAAGGTGGAGTAACCTCCCCTTTGCTGTGGAGCTTGGTGGTGGATGAACTACTAGACGAATTAACTCTAGCGGGAATACACTGCATTGGGTATGCAGATGACATAGTCATGATCGCTCGGGGGAAACATGAAGGCACCTTGTGTGATATTATCCAAAGAGGACTCCGTATCACTGAGAGATGGTGTAGAACTGTCGGGCTGAGTATCAACTCAGACAAAACCGCGATAGTGCCATTCACCAGAAAGCGAAGTCTGAAAAACTTGAAAAGAATCCAACTAGATGGAAAGGAAATACTGCCAACACAGGAAGTTAAATACCTGGGAATAACCCTGGACAGTAAACTCCTGTGGAACAGGCATATTAAGAACACTACCAGCAAAGGCTCTCATGATATGCAGAAGACTGACCGGAAATAGATGGGGCTGGTCCCCTAACATTTTGCGCTGGATGTATACCATGATAGTAAGACCCATGATTACTTATGGAGCAGTTGCCTGGTACACAAAACTAGAGCAACGGACGGCAAGGCTAAACTTATGCAAAGTCCAGAGACTAGCATGCGTTTGCATCACAGGAGCCATGAGAACCTGTCCAACAGCAGCAATGGAGGTCATTCTAGATCTAACACCACTGCACATTGTCATTGCATATATGCCAATGCGACAATGATTAGAATGGTCACTAACGGAATTAGTACTGGGAGAATTGTCAGATCAGGGGCTTGGAACACCCTCATAAAGGAAATACCACTCCTGCAACTCCCAGTGGACGATATGCCAAGAACCTACAACTTTGAGAAACATCTCAATGTAGTATTGGGCAATAAAAAGGATTGGAAGAGCAAAACGCTTGCCCAGCAGTTAAAAGACCATACCATAACTTGGTATACTGATGCTTCCTAAACCAATACGGGAACAGGGATCGGAGTGTTTGGGCCGAGAGCTAAATACTCCGAACCAATGGGCACTTACCCTAGTATCCTACAGGCAGAAATCTACGCTATCGAAAGATGCGTACAACTTATATTAGATAGGAACTATCCGAAACAAGAAATAGCCATCTTGTCTGATAGCCAAGTAGCGTTAAAAGCGATCAACTCAGTATCAATCAATTCGAAATTGGTCAAAGAATGCATAGAGAAGCTGAATAAATTAGGCAAAGAAAACAAAGTCCTCCTACTCTGGGTGCCTGCTCACCAAGGGATAGAAGGCAATGAAAAAGCAAATAATCTAGCTAGGAAAGGAGCGAACACTCCACTAACTGGACCAGAACCGTTCTGTTTTCCAAGTTGTAACCAACTCAAGGCGGAACTCAAGAACTTGGAAGATTCCATCCGCAACCTGGAATGGAAATCTTGCAACGGTCTAAGACACTCGAAGAAGTTTCTGAGGGCTTATGATCAAGAAAAATCACAGATCTTCCTGGGTTTAAGTAAGAACAATCTTCTGATTGTCACGGGGTTTTTAACAGGACACTGTCTCCTCAATGAACACCTCAGTAGATTGAAACTAAGAAGAAACGGCGAATGCAGATTCTGTGGGGAAAATGGGGAAACACCAGTACACCTCATCACTGAGTGCGCCGAGACGACAACCATTCGTGCCATGAATTTTGGTACGACTGATATTGGAGATGGAGAACTACCCTCTATAAAACCAGATACTGGCTTTTGGTTTGGTTTGGGACTGGGACCCTGGGACTGTATGATGAGTTATGACTCAAGAAAGGGGGACACAATGGATCTGTAAGGTCGCAGTGATTAACCCCCCTCCCACTCATTCTAAATTCATTCTAAAAAACACATTTGTACAGGGTATCACGTTTTTGTGTGTTTTATGGGATTTCTCGTTTACGAGTAGAGATACAATGATGCGATTTTCACATTACTTTGCATCTTTTTTATGAAACTAAATATGCTACACATAGGTTTGTCCCAGCCTCCTTAGTTCCTGAAATACAGGTCGAATTTGTGATGCGCAGTAGTGAACAAATGTTGAATTCAACTAATAAAATTAATATCGTATCGTCGAACAACGGATGCATGAAAATTAAGCTTAAAATTAATAATTTACCTAAGGCACGTCCACACGTAACGTTTTACCTGTCAGTTAAAGACGGGAAACCGTTTAGAGTACTGAAATTAAAATTCAGTTCAAGTAAAATATTCGTTTTTTCGTCTACACACAAGATTTTACTTGATTACTTGTTTTGAATGAACAGGCACGACTGACAGGCAAAACCTTATGTGTAGACGATACTTAAAACAGCGGTTATTAAAAAATAAAACACCCTGTATATGTATCATAATTCATACAAATCGTAATTTCGTAAAACGTATCGTTCATTTGATGAAAATAAATTAATAGTATTATTCAGTTAAAATTAATTAAAAAAAATACTAAAGCGTTGTCAAAATAATTACAAAAAAAATGATTATAACAAAATTACATCACTTTCAAGATGTATTGCACATTCGGAAATGCTGATACTCGTTGGCGAAACTCTGTAAGTGTTGCATAAAAGTCGGAACATCCTAAAAAATTAATAAAAGAATTATATACAGGGTGGTCCAAAGTGTATTCCGGAAACTTCGGCAGTGTTTTCTGCAAATAAAAATAAGTAAAAAAATTTGTATAAATGTATGTCCTAAAATGTTTAGTTTCGGAGATACAGGGTGTAGAAGTTTCATTTTTATTTCGATTTGCTCCTAATATTCTTCGGTAAAAAATAAAATACTCTTTTACCTCGCTAAATAATCAAATGTTTTTATTGTGGGTAAAATTTATAGCAGCACTATAAAAATATAAAATGCTTTATGCAACCATTTTTATACGACTTTTATTCTGTTGCTTTTTTTGTTTCTTAGATGTGACCACGTAATACAAAATAAAACTAGTTTTATAATAGTTACATATATAACGCTGTGTAAAATAGTTGCGTAAGAGTTGTATACCCTTTTTATAGAACTTCTATACTACTAAACGGTTGTATAAAAATGGGCCTTTTTTGGTTGTAAAGCTATCATATTACGGTCTTATAGCACGTTATACGAATTGAGGTATCCTATAAAAATGATCACATAGCTGTTTATACAGCCTTTATAAAATAAAATTTGCTACTTGGGAACTATCTACTCTACTTGTTTATTGTCAATATAATGACATCTATTGACTATTTCCATTCTAAATATCTTGAGAACGGGTGCTCGTTGCGATTTTTATCAAGAGACATTTTTTACGTAAAAAGTCACGGAAATGTATATTTTTTCACTCAGTAATTTTATACAGGTATGGACGAGAAAAGTTATTACTCTTCAAAACTGTTAAAACACGTGTAGGTGACGCCCCCTACAAATAGTAGCCATATTGACATCAAAATCCCAAATTTCTCATGTCAAAAAACTCCCAGACACCAATTTTCATTCAAATATTGATGTTAATTCAGAAACTATTTAGAAAAAATCGAAATAAAAATGAAACTTCTACACCCTGTATCTCCGAAACTAAACATTTTAGGAGATATATTTATACGAATTTTTTCACTTATTTTTATCTGCAGAATATGCTGCCCAAGTTTCCGGATCACCTTGTATTTGGTTTTTTGATTCATCTGAATAGAACTTTAAAAGATATCAAAATTTCAAGTATTCCATTTTTCCTCATAAAAATCTAAAGGTACCCTTACACGGTCGGAACTGTTGTTCAGATGACCGACCAGCGTCTCGAACTGCGTCGGCGTGATTCCTTCCAAATTCTGAACGTACTGTGGTAGGAAGGTGTAGAAGAACCCCTGGAAATCCACCTCGGCCATGCTGTATATCGCCAGGATGATGTCGTCGTTTGATAAGCCTTGTCTCTTGTACAGGAGCATGTTCAGAAGAACCCTAAGTAGATCAGAGAGCAAGTGCGTTCGGAATATATTCTAAAAATTTGTAAAAAAAACACTAAATAAGATATTATTACATGAAGATACCAGATTGTTCATTGTAAGTGTGCTATTCGGCCATTTATGGAGCATTACTTCATGGTAAAGCTTACTTCATGGTAACAGCTATTAAATTGAAGGATTTAATGGACATGTTTGAAAAAGTGACTTATAAAGTAATCAAAAAACAATTTCATATATACCACCCAAAATACACACTTCTATGCAAATGCCTAATAATGTTAACCCTTAAATTTCTTTAAGAAGAGATAACATTTTGAACCTAACCAACAATTCGTATTTATAGTGGTTTACAGTAGTTTTGTTAACTTTTCTCTACAATTTCCTGTCTCATAATGTACCGTTTGTGTCGGGGAAGGGATCATAGTTTCATAGTTGTCGATTTTCGAAAGAAATCAGTACATGTATATTATTTCGTCTATTTTTCATTTTATTGATTTTATGGAAAGCACTGTTCATTAAAATGTTGTATCCTATGTTATAGGGCTTGTTTCTCTTCACAATTTCCTGTATCACAATGTACCGTTTGTGTCCGGGAAGGGTTCATAGTTTCATAGTTGTCGATTTTCGAAAGAAATCAGTACGTGTATATTATTAAGTTTATTTTTCATTTTATTGATTTTATGGAAAGCACTGTTCATTAAAATGTTGTATCCTATGTTATAGGGCTTGTTTCTCTTCACAATTTCCTGTCTCACAATGTACCGTTTGTGTCGGAGAAGGGATCATAGTTCCATAGTTGTCGATTTTCGAAAGAAATCAGTACATGTATATTATTTCGTATATTTTTCATTTTATTGATTTTATGGAAAGCACTGTTCATTAAAATGTTGTATCCTATGTTATAGGGCTTGTTTCTCTTCACAATTTCCTGTCTCACAATGTACCGTTTGTGTCCGGGAAGGGTTCATAGTTTCATAGTTGTCGATTTTCGAAAAAAATCAGTACATGTACATTATTAAGTTTATTTTTCATTTTATTGATTTTATGGAAAGCACTGTTCATTAAAATGTTGTATCCTATGTTATAGGGCTTGTTTCTCTTCACAATTTCCTGTCTCACAATGTACCGTTTGTGTCCGGGAAGGGTTCATAGTTTCATAGTTGTCAATTTTCGAAAGAAATCAGTACATGTATATTATTAAGTTTATTTTTCATTTTATTGATTTTATGGAAAGCACTGTTCATTAAAATGTTGTATCCTATGTTATAGGGCTTGTTTCTCTTCACAATTTCCTGTATCACAATGTACCGTTTGTATCCGGGAAGGGTTCATAGTCTCATAGTTGTCGATTTTCGAAAGAAATCAGTACATGTATATTATTTCGTATATTTTTCATTTTATTGATTTTATGGAAAGCACTGTTCATTAAAATGTTGTATCCTATGTTATAGGGCTTGTTTCTCTCTACAACTTCCTGTCTCACAATGTACCGTTTGTGTCCGGGAAGAGTTCATAGTTTCATAGTCGTCTCAAATTTATTATAGTAATTTCATGACATAGATCGTTACCTAGAGCATAGAAAATAACCTAACGGATAAGAAAGGAATCTACGTGTTAATTTTTTGACGCTACATAGTGGCGCCATCTAGTTGAGCAGCGCGTACTATTCATTAAATGGCGGGAATATAGCGCTAAAAGCAAAACTTATAAATTGAAATTTTATAATCTAAACATTAAATCTGCTAAGCAAAATGACCAAATTGAACTTATGCCGACAAGTACAAATTATTCTACTTTTGTTTCATTTATTTATAAATAAAAAAAAAATATTTTTTATATTTTTCGTATTTATATATATAAACGATAAAATAATTTGTAGATGTTAGCTCAGAAAATTGGTCATTTTAGCTTTAACAGATTTATTGCATAGACTTTTATTAACAAGTAGGGATTGTATTATTGATTAATCTTTTTTTTAATTATTTATGACAATTTGGCGAAGTAAAATAAAACACAAAAAATAAACACAATTAAATATTATATATATTACAAACACAATTATATATTATTTCATTTATTTTTTAAATGTTTCATACGTCTGTATGCCTCAAAACAATTCATTTCTAATATATTTTTGCTGTCAGGATTCAGCTTACCCATTAATATATTATTTAATTTTTTAACATAATTATATATGTATATTTTGACAAAATGGGAGAAAATAAAAGTTTCTATTTCCTCTCTGTGAGGGCACTCTTCAAAATTAAAATTTATTTTGCACCTTAAAACGGATATAATTCGGACTCGTATATTGGTTTTATCAATCGCAGAAGGTACGTAGCTTTGTAGCATTTCATAAATTTTAATAATATTTTTTATAAGGTCAACATTGGCATAAACTAATTTTTTTACAAATGGGTCGTATTCTTTAATAGATACAAGTTTGTGATGAAATTCATCAATATCTGCGTTGTTGTGTAACAAATTTAATTTACAAATGTCACAACCTGTTATTTTTTTAAATAAATGATTACATATAAATCCGCTGATGTAGCTTAATGTAGCCTTTTCAATTTGTGTTACATCTTGTAATGTAACTTCAGGTGGATGCCAGCGATCAGGTACTTGAATTTCCTGATTATCTTTATTGCTATGTAGCATTTCCCTTAATGTGGACAAACAATGTGACATATCGTCTTCACAATTTGCCGTTTGAGGGTGGTATCTAATGTTTTTGACAATCAAGGCTTTGTAAAAACTAGCAAAAGCAGCACATGTAGGATTTGTATTTCTAATACCATATTGTCTTATTTGACAAAAGAAATTTTCGAGCGGATCTTGGTTAAACATGCGTGGAGCAAATGCTTTGAAACCATGAACCATTAGAATTCTATTTATTTGTATAAATCCCCTGATAGTTTTTATCCAACCATTTAATACTGGTGGCTTGGATCTATCTGTTGGTTTTGATTTTATAAATTCCATGGTTTCTAAAACATTTACTGCACTTCTCCAAAACCTAACATGGGCTGATTTGTCGGACACAAAACCTCTTAATGGTTTTCCTGCACTTGACTGTCCAAAACTACCATTAGTGCTGTCAAACAGGTTATCAAAAAATATTAATAATTCGGCAGTATCTAATGCACTCGCATCCAACTCTGAAGCTCCATCGGCGGATTTTATTCCTGATATTGCACAGTATTTTATTGCAGATGCCACTGTTGCACTAAATATTTGTGCTGCAATAGAAACTTTCATTTTTCTCATTTTATCTTTGTAGATATGTTGATCTGTTATTTTTCTCATCACCCGTATATTATTAGATTTGTCTATATTGTAGGCTTTAATAATATGTGACCACGATCCTAACATTTTTTTATTATTTAGAGTAAATGATAAATTTTTGTTTAAAAAATTATTTCTTGTGCTTTTTACAAGATGCGGTGGATCAAAAAGTGGTAAAACTGGTCTATCCTTTATGTAAAGCACTGTATCATCCCAATTTTCATTATTGGATATTTTTTGCATTCTTGTCTCTTCACGAAGCAAACTTATAGCTTTTACATTATTAGGACCTTGGTCACATATTAAACCTACTAGAGTCAGACCAGCTGAGATTACTTTTTCTGTAATAATTTTAATATAAAAAACAATTTCAGCTGCTGGCATAGCAGATTTATTAAATATGTATGCTACAGGCTGTTTCCATTTACTGAAAACTCCCCGTAACATAAAAACTGTGACATGATCAGCCACATTTAGATTTTTGGTAAAGCCTACTACCATATCCAAGTTATAATTGTAATCTAAATGTGGCTGAAGAGACATTTCGTCAAAAATTAAATTACAATATTTATCTTTGTTTTTCATATTCTTGGACATATTTGTAATACTAGTAAAAATTGACTCTGAAATGCCCATTTGTATAGGAATTTTTGATAACAACTTATTTAAAGTCCTTGGTGTAGGTAATGAAAATCCGAGCCTATTTAAATTTTTGTAGGTTGTTGGTGATGACTTCCACAGCATCAACGAGTCTAACTTAGTATCTAAGTCAAACCTTTTTCCTTTAGCACTTTTTTCAATGTTTCTAAATTGATTCTGGAAAAATCTTCTTTGGAAAGAACTCATTTTCCTGAACAGCCTATTGCCATTAACATTGAAAATAAGTTTCTTTGCTTCTGATAAGCGCTGCTTAATGGAAGCATTGCGGCGTTTTAATCTGGAAGCTTCTTGTTTCCATTTCCTTGATTCTTTATATAATGCTAGTGTTTTAGGTGACATGTTCTTCTTTCTAGCAACCATAGTAATGCTCTTGTGAGCTGGAAAATAATTTATATTCATTAGAATTAAAGAATATTTTATAAAAGTAAAATACTAATATATGTCATTATGTCTCTGGATTGTCTTTACAAGAGGAAATTTTTTTTATTATTTTCAGAAAAATGCATTCTTCATAAAAAATTTTGCTTGTTCTTAAATGGTTAATCCCCTTTATACTTTTCCAAATTTCCATACCGTTTTAGAGAAAATTCCAAAAACATGGAAATATAGTTGAATTTCTTAAGTTAATTTAAGTCCTAGGAATCAAAACGTGTTTCTATGGTAATATAATTTCGTTTTCATTCTTTGATAGAATCATTGTATATGGATAGAATTTTAATTAACGTCGTAGTTTTTGCCACTTTAAAATGTTATAGAAGTACAAAATTTATTTAGTTCAATGCTATGGAAAGGATGATAATAGTTATCGGAAAATGTGATACTTTTACAAATGTTTAACAACAGCAAAAAAATGCCGTTAATCAAAATTAATAATAGCCATCCATCAATGAATGAAATCGAAAATACCTATATTACCATAGAAACGCCTTCTGATTTTTAGAAAAAAATTCAACTATATATTTTCATACCTTAATTTTCTCTAAAATGGCATGGACATTTGGAAAAATATAAATGGGATTAACCACTTTAAAAGAAGCAAAATTATTTTATAAAAAATGTAGGTTTTTCTCAAAATGTCAACAATAAAAAAGTTTTTCCTCTTGTAAAGACAATACGGAGACATACTGTAGAAAATTTGCTACATATAATTTTTTTAATTCTGCCTTTTTGGAGTTATAACTCTAGGTAATATCTGTGGTACAAGGCATAACCCGATAATATCAAATATGAAATGTGAAATAATGTGCACATTCAGGGACATTCAGCGGCTGAGCAAAATTCTCAGCGGTCAGTTGGCCGCTGTGTTCCCGGAACGCGCACAATGTTAACATATTCTGCCTTAGTACCACAGATATGATCTAGAAGTATAACTGTATATTGTATATACATGCTGAGAAAAAATTAAAAAATAATTACCTGAAGGCTTGAATATGTCACTGACTTCTACATCATGTTGTATGTGCTCTTCTTGAGGTGCAGCTAGCAAAGTTATGTCTTCTAATCTAATTATCTTTTGGGTATTACAGTCCCTTTCCGATAAAGGCAAAGGTCGTTTAAATGAAGGCCCTCCCTGGTCTACTTCCGTTGTGGTAACTGTTATGTTGGTGTTACTTTCCAAAGTATCTATCCCAAATGTGAGTTTTAAAGGATCTAAAAATTAATGTATCGTTTTTACTTGAACATACAACTTTTCTTCTATTTAAATCTATACAATATGATCAAAATGTCTTATGTACAAACATGCTTTGAATAAGCACAGTTAAACACTTCGTATGAAAATTTACATTAGTATTTTATAACTGTAAAAGTCAAAAGTTTACGTGATACCTAATAAAACTTTCTGATAGTATTCCTATTTAAAAGTACAAGATGATCATGCTGGCTTTAAGTTCAATAGTTACAAATGAAAATTCTAATAAGAACTGTTTTTCTGTCAAAGTTATACAAGTCACATAAATATAAACCTTCTGATCACATTGTACCTGTTTGTCGATTAATGAATGGAAAATTATATTTAACTAATGAAGCTAGAACAAATAAAATGTATGTATAATTATTTACCTGGGAGATGTAAAGAGGGCACACAGTTCTTTATTTTCTTTAGTAGCAATTCTACATCACTACTAGTAAAATGCTTATTACAAATATACACTTTCTTGTATACTTGTTCTGGTGTCAAGGTAGAAAATTTAGCATTTCCTGTTGCTCTCCACCAAGACAGGAATAAATCCCATTTATATTTGGGATTAGGAATACGAAATAAATATACATTTTCATCGTTGCGGTAGCTTCTACCACAACCAAACACTCCACAACTAAAATGAGCCATTTCCTAAAAAATAAATAAAAATTAACTACTTTTACAATGCAAAACTATTTATAATAAACTTACTGTTTATACGTACGTTGATATATGCTAGAAATAGGGCACAAGTTAATATTATAGTAATCACGAAAGAAAAAAAAACTCAGCAAACAAACGATCAACACAACATTCGCAAGCAAATAAAAATTTTGAAATCGACGCGTGCCGCGTACTTCACCTGACAGAAAATGGCTGACTTATAGGTGTTTAACTGGTTGCATATGGGATGCATTCAACACCTAGCGCCATCTAGTTCAGCAGCGCTAATTAATTTCTTGAAAATATTTGGCCTATAAAGATTCAGGCCCCTGACCTAGAGCGAGTTAAATTGTTTTACAAAGGGGTAGATCTGCCCCGCCTGGGGTAGCTGTGGCAACACTGCTGTTACCACTTTTCATGACGCTAGCTCGTGTGTCACGGCTTTGAATTTTTACTCACAACGCGCGTAAAGAAGTTTCATTTCAAAAAATACGATAAACCAACGATTACCCACCTTATGATATATCTTTTTATTGTGATTCAAGTCTTGTAATATAACCAGGCTTTTTCTGAAAATATTCACGTCATCAACCAACAGACCCTCGCCAAAAACTTTAAGCACAGCCAACAATTGGTCGGGTCGTTTGGGTATATCTGGACCAACCTCAGTGTCACTACCACCGGGTGAATATCCTAGCATTACTTGGGAATTGTAGAAGTACAGCCAATGAAAATTAAGAATACTAGAAAAAACATAATTCGTGAATTTTTAATATATTACTTACTTTTAATTTTACCTATATAGTAAGTCTAAAAAAGTTAAAAACACGTCGGGACTTTCACAAGCTTGAGGAAGTAATAGCGTGTATATATTCTCCATACACAGTTGAAGAATATCAGGTAAAAAACTTTTGTTTGTCGTTTCCCGAACTACCATACAGAAAATATCCAGGAGTTGTTGGATTCCTGACAAACTGTTGGCTTGCTGTTCACTAAAATCACCGAAATTCATTGATAAAAATCATAGTTTTTGTTTATATAATTTTTTTACCTGATGGCAACTTGTAGAAACACTTGTATGGCGTTTTTAGTAAACTCAGCCCCTATTTGAGACTGTAGGTTTTTCAGTACGGATATGAAAAACCTGGAGAATATTTTGTGTACTTCTGAGTACCTCATGTAGGTTGGAAATAGATATAAAGCGTGGTCCAATGTTGGCTAAAAGAAAGATAGAAAAATACTGTAATTTTTCGGATTTTTTTTCCTCGTTTATTTCAAAGCAGCTAGAAAGATAAGAGATATAGTCCAAAATTGTTGAAAAATTCAGGGTTTGTAGCAAATTTTATGTACTTTTTCGAAACATCACCGTTTCAGGGCTTAAGTGCTTTGTTTTTGTGCGAAAATAGATTTTTTAAGCCATTGTTGTTTAAAACTTCGTCTGTGTCTAATATCGTACTCCTAATGCTAAAATGGAATATGTTTTCTTGTTCTACGCCTTTTAATTAGTCAATAACAGTAGTTTCATAAAAACCGGTGACTTGACCAAAATCGACAATTTTCATTACTATACAGGGTATCCCAGAAATAAGTGCAAGTATTTTAAGGAGGGTAGATCTGATCCTTTGAATAAGAAGACTAAGGAAGGAGCATAATGCTATCCATGTATTCATGCATGGTGGGCGGAAAAAGCACTCTAGGGTGGGGATCCATGACAGTTCTGTTTGACGATTCATTTGACACATTTGAATTTGATTTGAAATTTTATGGATTTGTCAGTCTTTACGGCGCTTATTTTATGTTATTTATTATTTATTCTACTACTGATAGTTGTATAAAGGTAGTATATCTAGATGGAAATTGTGGCAGAACTTAAATTAACAGTGACACTATCGCGATTTATCGAAAAAGACTCTAAAATAGGTCGTTGTGTAGCGTGCGGTAGATCTCGGCAAAAATCGAGTGAAATAATGGAACAACTTTTCGCTAGTAAGTGACTATATAATATACATACGTGTAGTAAACCAATCATTTATGAAATTCACTTAAATTAACTAATTATATATTTTTTCTTGCGTTTTTGCTTTTATTTACTACTTGTCAAAGATTAGATGTCAAAGAATTTAGATACGTCAATTTGAGTTACCTGCTTCAGTAGCGTATCGGATGTTTATGGTTATAAATAATTATTATAACTTATCTATTTTTATTAGAATTTTATATTTTTATAACAATTTTAATAACTACCAACATTTATTCACAACGTAAAATAAAACAACAAATTATTGAGTCTACCCCACGTCTACCCTACATCATAGTTTTACATTTTTTAAATAAAATTAGAACGGCACTGATAAACCGGAATTTAAGTCGGCCATATTTGAGGCCCATCGCGATGGACCTAAGATTTTTGATATGCTCCTTCCTTAGTCTTCTTATAAAGTAAAAATCTATCAAAGAATGAAAATGAAATTATATTACCACAGTTTTGATTTTTGGGACTTCAATTTTGGAAAAACAATTCAACTATATTTTCATGATTTTTTTAATCTTCTCTTAAACGGTATAGAAATTTGGAAAAATATAAACGGGATTAACCATTTTAGAACAAGCAAAAATTTTTATGAAGGATGCATTTTTCTCAAAATGTCAATAATAAAAAAGTTTTTCCTCTTGTAAAAACAATCTGGGGACATACTATAGATAAATAAACTTGACAATCGCTTACCCATTGCCTGGAAACTTATATGGTGAAATTTTGATAAAATAATTTAGTACTCACTAAAAACACGGTACGTCGCTAGTGGTAGGAAAAATAATTTTTAGAGGTTACTAGTTAATTTGGTTGCCTGTGATATGCATATACAGGGTGTTTCCTAATTAATCTAAAAAATAAAAAAAATCGTTAGAAAACGGCTTAAGTTGGACTCTTAATAAGTATATTTATTTTTTTCTCGGCAACCGTTTGATGAACAAGAAAAACTCAAAAGATCAATTTTGTTGAAAAAGGATGGCCAGTCAAGAAAAAAATATATTTTCTTTAAAAAAGCAGTAGTGTACCATTTATGTTAAGTAAAATATCGATTTTTTTTTTAATTTTTAACACCCTGTAGATCAGAAAGGAAGTACTTTAGACCCAATGGTTGTATAAAAATTGTTTTAAGAAGACATGAGGAATCACACCACAATTTTTTAGACTAATTAGAAAAAACCCTGTATATTGTCAACTTGACAATGATTGTTGATACATCAAAAAATACCTTTTCTCTGAAAAAAGCCCGATTTTCGCAGGAAAAATTTTGGTTTTTATTGAATTTGGGCCTGCGTCTGCAAATACCGGTATGTTTTTTAATATTCTATCTCTCTAAATTTTAAATATCATAGTCAGAAATAGTTTTATTATTTATTAACTGTAAAAATGGTATATTTATAAGTTTTGTCAAATATTGTGATTTACTTTCTACCTTGTAGTCAAAATTTATATTTAATAAACTGTAAAATATATATATTCTCTTATGTTTTATTAAAGTTACTCTGATATACTAATATATCAGAGTAACTTTAAAACTAAATCCTTTGAAATCAAATATAAAGATAAAAAATATTTACAGCAGAAAAGGCGAAGGCGCCGGGTTAAACATAGTCTCTACTAAGAACACGGAGGGGCGCTTTGACCCAAAATTTTACTATTAAGTTTCATATCTATCTTAATAGAAGATTATTTTCTTTTATCTATGCGCTTACCTTAATGGCACTTGTCAGTTCCCTCTTGGCACCCACGGGAAACCCCCTACAGTACTCTATCACGTGCGACAAAGCTGGCAACACCTCCATAACAACCCCGCACACCTTGTTCGCGGTACTATTCACCTCCAACTCCTTGAAATCCCTAGTCATCTCCGTGAAGTACATCCCAATCAACAATTTGTACCGCTGAACGATTTCTTGATCAAACGATTTCAAATGCTTCAAAAGTATTTCACAGGCAGCCGAATTGATAGTGTCCCTGATATCGGCGTTGCCGTATCTCAAGCGAGGCGCCTCGGTGAGAATCGTGGCAACGCTGCGTTTGCGTAAGGGGCACAGCCAGCCGGGACGTTTGGACATTTCGAGGAAGAGCTGCGCGGCTGCGCAGCTGATTTGGGTGGGGACTTTGTCGCCGTCTTGGAGAAACGGGATTATGATTTCTAGGAAAACGTCCGAGTCTGGACATGGTTGGTTTCGGGCTTCTAACCAGCCCAGCCAGGTTTTTAGGGAGGCCAAGAGTTCGCTTTGACTAAACCAAACAAAAATTTAATTATTATAGCGTTGTATACCGGGTGTTTTTCAAAAGTGGCAGTCATAAAAAACCACATTTCGTATGTTATAGTCTTTAAAACGAATAACTTTGAATTTGACAGTTCCCGCGGGCTTTTCTAGTGTTAATTTTATTAGGTTAGCAACTTGCGGCCATGCTGAGGCAATGTCGTCTTTAATAGAACAGCCTCGGAGCGAGATTTATGACGTCACGCTAGTTAGATACTACGGATTAATAAATATGTTGTAGAATACATGGAAAACATAATTATTCCTCGTATTTTTAGTTTGTATTTTAAAAATGATATAGTTTACATGAAATATACGTAATATACAGTTAATAAATACAATATAATATATATCTATTTATAGTAATAAATACTTTGGCAAATAAACTATGAACCATACAAATGCAGCAAATATTTTACAATATGGCTGAAATCATACTCCATAGTCAATGTAGATAGTTTTTGTGTTAAGAATAATAATTTGAAAAAATATGTGGTCATCTTTTGACAAGTTTATATTAGTTTATTAATTGCAGTAAACATTATAATATAAATAAATTTTGTGAATGCAAATAATAATACATATATCACTATTAGTAGATATTGAATGTTTTTTGTTAAATTAGATCGATCTTCAAACCCCAAAATTTAAAATATATTTTACATTTTACCCATTATCTTATGTACCAGCTATTCATTATTTGTATATTGTAAAACATTTGCTGCATTTGTATGGTTCATAGTTTATTTGCCAAAGTATTTATTACTATAAATAGATATATATTATATTGTATTTATTAACTGTATATTATGTATATTTCATGTAAACTATATCATTTTTAAAATACAAACCAAAAATACGAGGAATAATTATTTTTTCCATGTATTCTACAACATATTTATTAATCCGTAGTATCTAACTAGCGTGACGTCATAAATCTCGCTCCGTGGCTGTTCTATTTGAGACGGCATTGGTCTAATATTTAGAAATGTCAAAAGCTGATGACATTTTACTTTTGTCAATTATGACATTTCGTGTTGATTTTTCCAAGAAGAGGAAGAACTGTCACTTGTTTTATTATTTTCCTTTTCTATTTCACGAAAGTCAAAAGAGTTACCTATCTGATTCGTTCAGGCACTCAATTTAAAGAATATCAGTAACTTTTTTGATAGAGGGATTTTATATTTGCCATGTTGTTAAAAAATAACGGTCAAAATTCAAAGTTATTCATTTTATAGACTATAGTACGACATAAAAAGAAGTCATTTTGAATAGAACGACATATTATCATATGTCAACTTTTAAGATTTTTGCTTAAAAATAGTATTTCAAATTTCAATTGAGTGTGAATTTGACTGAAAATACAAAGTATGTGCTACCAAATAATTCGTAAAAAATGTTTTCTTCAAATATCTATTGGCATCTTTTAACCGGTCAGGAAATGTCATAAAAACATTAGACGCTCAAATCTATTTTTCCAAGGCTCCTTGATTAAAAATTAGTGGTTTTAACACAGCCATTGCATTCTAGATTGAAATTTAAAATACTATTTGCCTTAAGCGCAAATGTTAAAAGTTGACATATGATATGTCATTCTATACAGAATGTCATTTTTTTATAAAACAAAGTAAAAAAATACCGAGGATTCCATTTAAAAATCAAAAGTTGTAATCGTTTTCCAGTGAAACAGGAAGTGACCGAAAACAATTGAATACGTCAATCAATCTTGATTTATGTCATATACTAACATACCAAATCTAGTTTTTTTTATCAAAAAAAAATAAGAGAGTTATAGTGGTAAGCCAGTTTTCAAAAACACCCGGTATAACACTATGAAATAAATCGAAATACTTACGCGTCAATGAAGTTTCTTGTCAGCTTTGGATTGTTAAACCTAAGCAAGTACGACTTGATTTTCTTATAATTTGAGGCACTTTTTATAGTGTTTTCGATTAGAGTGCATATCAAAGGCGTGGCAGTTCTACCAATTTCTTCAATATCTACAAAAAAAAACATTGTTTTACCTTAGACCCTAGAGAAATAAGTAAATATACCGGGTGTTGCATTGTCGAGCGGGACATAGGAAATTCCATGTAAATTTTAATGGAGTCAATTTATTGGCTTCCCTAATTATTTTAGAGAATAATTCTATTTAGGTTTATTGAAGAGCACTAAAACCCACATTCAAAAGAATAACTTTAGATATTTTTGATTAGCCCGTTTACGAGTTATAGGACAGAACCATATTACGTAGATTCACCTGGTATACATATTTTATATTAAAGCATTCATTTATAAAATATTTCCTTGTTTTTTACCAATTTTTCGCAATAATTTTGCAAGTTATTTTTTATCAGAGTTATTCAAATTTAAAAATAAAAACTAATGTTAACATTTTGAGAGCTGCCGATTTTAGCCTCTTTTTATAATTTATATCGACGACCTATGTTGCCAGATCAACACAAAAGTAGCTAGTCGCGGCCTGCGATTGAAAATTAAGGAAGTATATGAAAAGTGACTAGGTTGAAAAACATAAAAAAATATCAGATGGACCTGCAGTTCTAAAAAGTTTCTTAAAAATTACTAGAAAATCTGAAAAAAAAACACTTTTCTTAGCAAAAAAGCTCACAGGCTTCTTTTACTACGTTTTAATAGTTCAACAAAGATCTGTGTTTGTGTTACAAAATTTTGTGATTAATTGTGAACAATATAACTTTTAATTACATTATTAAACCATGTCGTTGACTTATTAAGAACGTATGTACGAAGTGACAACGTTGGAAAACGTTCTGAAATGGTATCAGATGAACCTGCAGCTCTAAAAAGTTTTCTAAAAATTACTGGAACCCTGAAAAAGGTAAAAAAATTACTATTTTTTGGGAAAATCCTCATAAGGGTGATCTTAATCCTTTTAATAATGCAACAAAAAAACTGTATTTCTGTTAAAATGGTTTGTTATTAATTTTGAATAATATAACCTTCAATTGTGTTAATAATAATAATTGTGTGATTGTGGATTAAGAACGTGTGTATGAAGTGGCAACGTTTAAAAATATCTTGAAAAAAAAACAGATGAACCTGAAGTTCCAAAGAGTCCTAAAAAATTCAATAATTTGATTAGCCCGTTTACGAGTTATCGCCGATTTCTTTTTAAATATTTCTCCTTTCTTACGGCCCTGTATTTACTTATGAGCACCAGTCAAGGTAAAAGATAACTGTCAAATGAAGTTGTCATTTCAGAAATTTATCTATTTTCTTAAAAAATGTCAGGACTTCTGTACTCACCATTTAGATAAAACTGATGTGCTAAACTTGCTAAAGTAAAGGTAAGCGTGGAATAATCACGCAGTATATAAGTTAGTTTTTCAGTCTCAGAATTATTTGAATTGTTGAACCACAATTCAGAGTATTTGTCCAAGATATATTCTTATTATTGCATGATTTAATAAATTGCTTAATCATTTTTAGTAGTATTATTTGCAGTCTAGTCTCATAGTTAGAGTCACTTAAGTTCAAATAATTATAGTAAGATTTGAAGTTCATGGTAGTTGCACTCAACAGTTCGAGGTTAGTGTTGAAGTCTACTTAATAGTAACATCTTTTATGCCGAGTTCATAGAGTATAATCTCGTGGCGCCCTTTTATTAAGATCTTTGAACCCCGACCACTCGGCTGTTAAAATTAAAAGCTAGTGGCCTCTATGCAACTCATCCCGATTAAGTAAACTTGTGTTTTATTGAACTTCGAATTAGAAAAGGACGCGGCATTTATGCCAATTTTTAGTAATGGCGTCTAGAGATAGACATCGCCAAAAATTATCACCGACTGTCATTCCCCAGCCTTCTTTGACGCCGTTTTTACCGATCTCTACGGTATTATTGTTGTCGGTGATTTACTGACCACTTTGGCGCCCAGCAATTGGGCCTCGATGGCCGTTCGCAGGCCGCAAGGTCCGGCTCCGATGACGAGGACCTTGGTGCCCGAGCAGGCCTTGCCCTTGGCGTAGCACTTGTGCGACGCCCTCAGATCGAACTTCTTCCACAGGGCCTTGGCCCTCCACGAGGTCAGGTTCGCCTTCAGCTTCGGGTAGAAGTGCGTGAACACGTTCGGTTTCAGGTGAAGGAATTCGCACATAGACCTGGAAGAGAAAAAAAAATGTTCCATCCAACATTTTATAAATTTAAAGCAAACATCAGAACAGAAAAAAAAACAACAGAAAAGTTACTTTATGAAAACTACAGTTTTTTTTACGTAAATGGTTCATTAATTTTTTTTAGAATCTAGTTTGGATACAAATATACCGGGTGGATCTCAAAAATGGCTCACCCCTATAAATTTTTTATTTTTTCACATAAAATAACGAGATTTGGTATGTTAGTAAATGACATAAATTAGGAATGATTAACGTATTCAATTATTGTTTTTAGTCACTGCCTGTTTCACCGGAAATAACTAGTGCTGGGATCACTCGAATGAAAAATACTCGGTCACCCTATTATTCAAATCCTCAGTATGTCTCGAGGATTTTTGTCAATCCTCGAGGATTACTCGGCACGCAACTAACACCGTGTGTGGCGTACACGCTGAATCGAAAATACAAGGCAATTTATACTGAAATCGTTTCAATGAAGACAAGTAATTCTCCGAATTACTTGTTTTCATTTGACCTGAAAGATTGCTAGAGATAAGTTGATAAGATAATGTTCCTAAGCGCAACCCATAAAAATTTTATTTCTCACATTCAATTATATACGCGAAAATATAAAAAACTATGAAAAAAGCTATAATATTAATAATTCCGGTTTCTTAGGTACGTGCTAACAATGTATGAACAAACAGCAAGTATCGGGTATCGATCGATCGATAAAATTATATGACCGAGGATTCCTCGGATGATCATCCGATTATTGGAATCCTCGTGGATTAAAATCATCCGATTATTCCCAACACTACTTTTAACTGCTGTTTCTCTCTTATAATTCGTTTTGTTCTAGAAAGAAAGATCACCGGAAAAGTTCAGCTTGAAACATTTACTATTTGTTGTGAACATACATTTAATATGGTTATATGTATGTATATGTATGTATATTCTACAAATTGTATAAAATATTAATTTTACCCTTATACTACGGCTATGCCTAAAGAGTTTAAGATACAAAAAATACCATTAATTTTATTATTCTTCTCAGAAAGATGGGTGTCGCAAACTAGTTGCATCATACTTAGTTTTCCTTTGTAATTCATTTACTTTCAGACACGATGTCTGGTTTCTATTGACTTAAGAAATGATCATGTTTGTCCCTTTGCAAACCTACCATAAAATATTATTAAGAAATAGTAGGTACACCCGTGGATTCTCGGAGAGGGCATTCTCATAAAAGCACGGTCGCAGAAGGGACCGAAAGACATTCATAAAAAATCTTTCATAGATCTAAGATTGCTGAATTTTTGTTAGTTAAAATTTATATTTTGTATTAAAAATTTAAAAATAAAAAGTAATATCCAATTAGTAAGAATTTAATTATAAAAAAATAAATAATAACATTCCCAGCACAAGTGGTGTTACGAGTCAAATAGAGAACTACAACATTTGGTGACAGCGACTACAAGATTGGTGACAACGGTGTTCCAACCCAGGATCACAACAACTTGTATCTAAATTAAACCCTAATTTTTTTTTATGGAGCCAGTGGCGTAGAGAACCCTGTAATAATAATATCAAAATATAAATTACCTGTGATAGCCGAGGATGTTTTTGAGGGTGGTCGCGTTGAGAAAAGGCTCGAAGTATTCGTTGGCGTTGGCCGCGTCTTTGCCGGACACAGGCCGCCCCCGCAGGTGGGGCGGTGGTCCTCCGCCACTGTGACGGTCCATCGCTCAGAGCTACGTGCGGGACATCGGACTTTGGGGACAGGTAGCGTGATTATCTGCAAACAAAAATATATTATAAGATTATGTTTCTTGTCTTAACATTAAGTAGGTCTCAATACATATGAAGATTACAGGGTGTGCCATTTTCGTGTGTTTTATGAGGTCTCGTTTATGAGTAGGGATAAAAAATGCGGTTTTCACATCACTGTGAAACTAAAGATGAAATATACACACAGAGTTGTCCTAGCCTGCTTAGTTCCTGAAATACAGGACAGGACGAATTTGGAATTGTTGCATTTTTCGGCCTCCTTTGTATCTCGGATATCTTATAACTTATCGAAAAGGCAAAAACTGTGTTCCGTAGAGATTTTCGTGTAGAATCCAGTGGCTAACTAGTTTTTCGTTGGAAGCTGTCATTTTCATAAAGGCTCGAATATGTTATATATAAGTTATAAGATAACCAAGATGTAGGTAAAGGGAGTCGAACAATTGAATAATTTCAAATTCGCCCTGTATTTCAAGAACTAAGAGGGCTAGGACTAATCTGTGTGTAGCATCTTTAGTTTCATAGAAAAGTAGCATAATGATGTGAAAACCGTATCTCTACTCATAGACGAGAAACCCTGTAAAATACACAAAAATGGGACATCCTGTACAAAAATCCTGTACATCCTGTGGAAAAAAAGATTAGTCACAAAAGGTAGTTTTTACAGAATATTAAAATAGTATATTGTTTTATTAGGAGTAAAAATGATACTTTTTGCGGCGAGGCACAAAGTCATTTTTAATATGAACAGAACATGATATTTTAACGCCACAAATAAGTTTTTAAACAATTTCAAACTTCCAAATAATATAAAAAATTATTTAAAAGTAATACCCAAGTAATACCTTGTAAGCATTCACTGTCATAACTTTTAAACCAAAGCTAAATTTTAAGCCAAAATGTAGCACCCTGTCCGAGCGTTTTTTTGTACAGGCCTCCATGTATTTTCTACACTATAAAGCCTGTCTTATTGGACAGATTTGCAAAAATGGTCATTATTGTAAAATTACCGTTATTTTGCTGTGATCATTAACAGAGTTACATAGACATAACTTAATCAAATTTTCTTTATTATGTAGAGCGTAAGTAAATCAAAACATAATGTTAGCATTTATTTAAATAGTATTTGAGACTTGATAAAAAATTCCACGACCGCGTACAGTAAGGGAAAAGCAAATACAGTTGTCTTGGCATACTATAATATTTATCTATAAAACGTATACGCTGAGTACTTGAATTACTAGTCATTTAAACACAATACCTATTAACCCATTTCTGCGTGAAAACAAAAATATCTCCGGCCTTACTCAGCACCCAGTAATTACATCGACCCCGACCGGCGCGCGGCGCGTTTGCGAGAGAAGCTATCTCAGCAATTCCTTCAGTCGCTTCACGGCTCTTTAATTAATTGAATCAAAATTATGGGAAAAAACTTAGAAGTAAAAGATCGTTAAACTACTTACTAAGCATTGATGCGTCGATGCGGTTCGTCCTCCATGCTCATTATGCAGTACAGCACGCATCGCATCGACGTATCGTCACATCAGTCTCTACTCTCTACCTATGGATTTATTATATTATTGTTTTATTTCACAGTAAGTAAATACTAGAGATGAGCAAAAAATCCAATCGCAGCGATTTTAAAATCGCAATCAACCTACGATTGGCTCTGCCGAGGAAGCTGCGATTGCGATTTCTTCTATTGCCAAGATTTCAATTTAGGCAACCAATATTACTACAGTTGCGATTTGCAATTTTGTTATTTGCGAGATTCAATTTTGTAAACTGGACTAGTGATAACCTTATATCTGGGAGACAGATTTTTAGGGTATTGATAATAGTTGCAGCAGTTACAGCATATGTAAAGAAGTTTTAATACCTATAATCTGTTGCAGATGTTAAAAAACTTAAAAACTAAACTACTGATTATTATTAACTCTTTTGAACTGTTAAGCTATAGATACATGCAGACAATTATACAGGGTGGTGACAATTTAGATGCTCAACATTGGCATCTCAGAAACTACAGAGAGATACGAATTCGGTTAAATGGGACAAAAAGTTGCGTAATTAGAAGTTGGACAAACACCTATGAAGAAAACCCCGGTATCTTGATTGGTTTAGGATTTACGTCAAAAAAATGAAAATAGTACGTTTATATTAAATGACAATATCTTCAGACAGTATCTATTGGAACGTAAGTTGGTAGTTTTATATTTTGACACCGGCCAATTCAGATGCCGTTTCAGAAAAAATTTTAAACTTCTAGATTTCGCACAGTCAAGTTTTTGTTTTCTTATGGCCGCCATTTTGATTTTTATACTGTTAGAGCGAAAAAAAAGTTATACGGTGGTATCTAATTTTTAATCATTATTATGTAAATTCATTATAATAAATAGATTTTTTCAAAATTCGCCGAAGATCAAGTCTGCCTTAAAAATCCAAGTGACACTTTATATGTCAGCAAGCTATTTTGTTTTTTGTGTCAATCTAGACGCATAAAAATTGTATAGTAGAGTTCAATACAGGTCAATGCAGAACCAAAAATTTTATTGTCAAAAATGCCAGCTCAGACTTTCAAAGAATATATTACTGTAGTCTGGTTTCTCTAATTAAATAAGGATTTTCTTTCGCATAATAATGTGAATTTTTTTCTGTTAAATGTACCAGAATTTGTAAATAATGATTCATTCGTCCGTAATATTTTTCTAGAAAAAGGGGGCTCCTGAACACTTTCCCGAAACCATTTGCAAAATTGTAATCTTCTCTCGTGATCACCAGCATGTAAAAAAAATGTAAATTTGGTATACATTTAAATTTAAAGTTGTGATATTTATGTTTTTTGATCATTTTCCCTGCATACGAATCACTTATACAACACTCGCCAGTTATTTTACTTTACTATTAGAAGTTTCCGGATTTATTTCAATCTGAGCTGGCACATTAAAATCATTAAGCCTTTTAAAATATTGCCCTCTTTTTTCTTAAAGCTACCAGCAACTGCTAAATTTCTTGAAATCCTTGCGAAAATAGTACGATGAGGCTGCGTCCTTTCAGGACACAAAATGTTCTATAACTTGCGCATGCATGCCATATCGGAATTATTTTTAAGTAAACATCATACATATCTCGTGTTTCTTCACTTGTGAACATATTGTTAAAATATATTTTACACTATTTACTATAAATTTGTGTGTCAAGATTTGACACTTAATAGAGTAAACAAAATTAACTTGCTGTCATACAAAATGTCAATTTAGTTTCAAGGCAGACTTGATCTATTGAGCGAATTTTTAAAATCTTATCTTTTTAGTGAATTTACATAATTATGAATAAAAATTAGATGCCACCGTATAGATTATTTTTTTACTCTATCTAATAGTATAAAAGTCCAAAATGGCGACATAAAAAAACAAAAACTTGACTGTTGTTGTGCGAAATCTAGAAGGCTTAGAAATTTTCTGAAAACGACATTAATTGGCCGAGGTCAAAAAGCCTAAAACTACCAACTAACTTACGTTCCAATAGATACAATAGTTCTGCGAAAATATTGTCATTTAATATAAACAATATTATTTTCATTTTTTGACATAAATCTAAACTAATCAAGATATCGGGGTTTTTCTTCATAGGTGTTTGTCAAACATCTAATTACGCAAATCCCATTTAACCGAATTAATATCTCTCGTAGTTTCTGAGATGCCAATGTTGAGCATCGAAATTGTCCGGCACCCTATATACCTAGTACAATATTTAAATATTCAAATCGCAATCACAGGTTACAGTCCGCTGCGACTTAAAAATCGCAATCGCAGTTTCAAGTGCGATTGGAGAATCACGGATTTTGCTCATCTCTAGTAAATACACACACATACTTTTCAAAAATCGCCCCAGTTGCCATGTAAGGCATTCAAACAAAAAGGTTGCCTATGTCGTTTAGGTGCTTAAATTTTGGCTATTTACTATTCAATAGCGCTACGACACGAACAAGCCACTCATTTTTCTAGTCTATTGTCTTGCTTTAATCTTCTAAAAACATTCCGACATATACGATTAAAATAATGTAGTTTATAAGTACCTTTTAATCCCGTGACTTTAATATTAATATTACTCTTATACCATATAGGTTGATCATTTAAACAAATAAATTAATAATATTATTAACATTAATTAGATAAAATAAATATTATCCTCAACGATTTATCAAAAGTTTTAAGACAAATAAATTTAACCAACATCGTATCTCACCTTACAGTTTCCGAGATCCAGAATGATGAGTATCAATTTTTGAACACCTGTACATAACAGGGTGGGCAAAGATTGAACAGTATTAAACATGAATCGTGTGATTCGATTCACTGCTTAGAATACAGTTCGTTCAATTGAATCGCCAACCAACACGGATCCATAAAGTCGTGAAGTGATTTGTGCTTGCAATACAGTTCCTTCCAATTGAATCGTAGCCGGCACGGATCCATAACATTTGAACGATGAGCCGTAAAAAGAATCGCGAAGTGAATGGATCTGATGCGATCATTCGTTCAAGAGTCATGTGGTGATTCATTGCTTACAATACGGTTCAACTGGATCGTGGCCGGCACGGATACATAAGATTTCAACGATGAGCCGTAAAAAGAATCGTGAGAATTGAATCGGATCACAATACGGGAACGTTCGTTCAAAGAGTCGTGGAATTGATTCATTGCTTACAATACGGTTCGTCCAATTGAATCGTAGCCGGCACTGCGGATACATAAGATTTCAACGATGAGCCGTAAAAGAGATCGTGAGGAGTGAATCGGATCACAATGCGAACGTTCGTTCAAAGAGTCGTGAGAATCGAATCATTGCTTACAAAACGGTTCGTTCAATTGAATCGTAGCCATGCAGGACGGATCCATAACATTTAAACGATGAGCCGTAAAAAAGAGTCGTGATAATTGAATCGGATCACAATGCGATCGTTCGATCAAAGAGTCGTAAGAATTAATTCATTAGTTACAATA